CTCCCACCTCCTTTTCCCAGTCTCCCCAAGTTTTGTTCAATAAAGAGAGTTTCTATTTTTGAACACACATGTCCTTTATTTTGTACATCAGGAAGGGGGGCTAGGGAGGGGTAAGTGGAAGGAGGTGAGGGAGGAATGGGGTACGAGCCCCCGATGGGGAGGACTGGGGTGGCTCTGCGGGCTCCTCGGGGTGGAAGCTCTCCTGCAGCCCCCCGATTGACCCCACTCCCTCCGGATGGCAGCCTGCAACAAGTGCAGCCAGGCTGATGGCCGAGTGCTGTGATGTGCCGAGTGTGCGCACTCAGGGCACTCCAAGTCCGGACTGCTTTGCTGTCCCTCATCGAGTTAGACCAGCAAGCGGGGAACCCTGAGAACTGTCCATCCGGGGTGGGGGTCGGGTCCCTTTAAGCACAGACCTCGGCTAGCCTAAGACAGCAGCTCCATGCTCTAAGTCCTAATCTGATGCCCTACCTTGGTTCAGGGTCCACTCAATGTGGACATGCTAGTTCGAATTAGCAAAATGCTAATTCGAACTAGTTTTTAGGTCTAGATGCACTAGTTCGAATTATCTTAGTTCGAATTAACTAATTCAAATTAAGTTAGTTCAAATTAGTGCTGTAGTGTAGACATACCCTCACTGCCTTAGTGGCTCCCCCCTCTTCACTGAGCCGCTGGAGGCCGGAGATTTACACAAAACTCAATCTACAAGGTCACCAAAAAAAAAGCGGGCCCCAGCCAGTCTGACCGCACCCTGGCTTTGCAGGATTCTTTTCCAGCCCCACTAATGTCTCCTCTATGCTGCTGGGACATTTGCAGTGGTACTCCCCCACTTCCAGAGGAGTCTCTGCCCTGCCACCCTCCTTCCCCTTCTCCCCCCTTCCCCCAGGATGTCTTGACTCCTCCAGCTCACTAGCTCATATCTTAAGAACCTTGCCCAGTGTCTTAGTCTCAGCTTTTCCATCACCCCTTGTGCTGCCTTTGGGGGTCATTTCTCATCCCTCACTTTGCCCCTTCCTCAAGCAGATTTATGAGCTATGACTATGTCCCCCAGTTCTGGATCTCTGTGATGTTAAAAATGGTTAGCTACAGCAAATTAATTCCTTTGGTGCAAGATCTATTTTTTTCTCCTGCCTACCCCCGGAGCCAGCCTTGAGTGCTGCAGAGAGCAACCCTGAACTGCCACCAGGGAGAGGCACAAGATCAGTTTATGGATGTCAACTGAGGAGGAACATCTCTAACCTCCTCCTTCCCATCTCACTTGGAGGCTTGCGGAGCCCCCTGAGAAATGGGAGACCAGGCTGAAGTCATAAGCTCAGCACTGGGTACCCAACAGAGCCAGCCACTCCGCAGATGGTAGCACAGCATCTCCCAGCTGGGGCTGGGCATGGAGCTCCATACTGACTGAAGAAGCCCACTCCAAACGAGTCACCCACCACACAGCCGGCAGGAACGGAGGTTTCCTTAGAATGTCTCTGACCGGAGCTTGCTGCCTGCTGTGGTTTCTGACGGTGCCTGGCCTTGCAGGGGTTTGTCCCGGGCTGTCACTGTCTTACAGGCTCAGGTCACAAGCCCCATGGGGATCAGATACTCACGGTGAATGGGACGCACTTGAAGACGTCCTTCCCGGTAACCACGTCTGCGATCAGACTCCGGTTCTCCCCTGCATGCTCCAGCGTGGCGCTCAGCGTCACAGACTCGTTCAGGTGGATCAGCTGGATACAGACTTTTTCGGGGACTTTGGTGTGGATTAGAAAGGGCACGAGGACCATGTACTGCCTGGGAAGGGAAGGGCAGGGTCAGAGAGGCAGGGCTGGGGGACAGAGAAGGCGTGGAGGGAAGGGCATGGACTAATGGGACAGCTGAATCCTGACCACCCATCCAAACTGCAATTCATGCACACAGGATGGGGGCTTGCATTTGGGGTTTGTAACATGCAACATGCCTGTCTGCTTAGCCAGCTGGGCACCGAGCACACCCCTTGGAGTGAAGGAACTTGTTCTGTGTCACCTTTGAGTGCTGCTGCGCAAGGGCTGTTTGCTCAACCTCCTGGCAAGCGTGGGGTGGCTTGGGAAGCTCCAGGCATTACCTGATTTTTGTGTATCCCATAGCCCCGTACTGAGGTTCCCAAATCTTATCCGAGCATCCAGGAGGGAGCTCCTCTGAATCATAGAATCAAAGAACCATAGAGCTGGAAGAGACCTCAGGAGGTCATCAAGTCCAGCGCCCTGCTCTAGGCAGGACCAATCCCAACTAAATCAACCCAGCCAGGGCTTTGTCAAGCAGAGACTTAAACACCTCTAGGGATGGAGACTCCACTACTTCCCTAGGTAACCCATTCCAGTGCTTCACTATCCTCCTATTGAAATAGTTTTTCCTAATATCCAACCTGGACCACTCCCACCACAACTTGAGACCATTGCTGCGTGTTCTGCCATCTGTCACTACTGAGAACAGCCTTTCTCCATCCTCTCTGGAACCTCCCTTCAGGAAGTTGAAGGCTGCTATCAAATCCCCCCTCACACTTTGCTTCTGCAGACTAAACAGACCCAAATCCCTCAGCCTCTCCTTATAAGTCATATGCTCCACCCCCCTATTCATTTTGGTTGCCCTCTGCTGGACCCTCTCCAATGTGTTCACATCCTTTTGTAGTGAGGGGCCCAGAACTGGACACAATACTCCAGATGTGGCCTCACCAGAGCCGAATAAAGGGGAATAATGACATCTCTGGATCTGCTGGCAATGCTCCTCTTAATGCAACCTAATATGCCATTAGCCTTCTTGGCTACAAGGGCGCCATTAGCCTTCTTGGCTACAGGACACACTGTTGACCCATATCCAGCTTCTCATCCACTGTAACCCCCAGTTCCTTTTCTGCAGAACTACTACTTAACTGGTTGGTCCCAGCTTGTAACTATGTTTGGGATTCTTCCGTCCGAAGTGCAGGACTCTACACTTGTCCTTGTTGAACCTCATCAGATTTCTTGTGGCCCAATCCTCCAATTTGTCTAAGTCACTCTGGACCCTATCTCTGCCCTCAAG